TTTTGCCTACTTTGTGCAACACGAAGATGCTCTCGTATAAGATGAACTTTCTCTGTAGCTTGCTGGATCAACTCTGGGCCCAACAAACTCCTTTCCCCAACATCTGTCCAACATATTGGAGACCTGCACCTCCTCCCATACAAAGCCTCATATGGAGCCATCTTAATACTTGCATGGAAACTATTATTATAAGCAAATTCTAGGAGAGGTAAATGATGATCCCAAGAATTTTTCATATCAATTACGCATGCTCTCAACATGTCTTCCAAAGTCTGAATGGTTCTTTCAGACTGTCCATCTGTTTGTGGATGATAAGCGGTGCTAAAATTAAGAGTTGTTCCTAAAGCATTGTGTACGCTGCCCCAGAAATGAGAAACAAAATGAGAATCTCTATCTGAAACAATAGACACTGGTATCCCATGCAACCTCACAATCTCTTTTAAGTATAACTTTGCAAATCCCTCTACTTGCATTCCTGTTTTATAGGGAAGAAAATGGGCAGACTTGGTTAACCTATCAACAATAACCCAAATAGAATCATTTCCATTTTTTGTTGCAGGCAAACCAGTGACAAAGTCCATGGTTATATGTTCCCACTTCCATCTGGAATAGGAAGTGGCTGCAACTTGCCAACTGGTCTTTGATGCTCAATCTTAACCTGTTGGCATGTCAAACACTGAGCCACAAAATCAGCTATTTCCCTTTTCATGTTATTCCACTAGAAGGTTCCTTGCAAATCTCGGTACATTTTAGTACTTCCAGGATGAACCGTATACCCAGTATTGTAAGCTTCTTTCATAATTACCTCATTTAACTCTGAATCATTAGGAACACAAATTCGATCACCGTGCCTAATAGAACCATCCTCATGAATCCTAAAAGATTCCAGTTTAGGATCATTGGACTCCACCTTTTGTCTCATTTGCTGCAGAAATGGATCATCCAACTGGGCAGTCTTTATCTTCTCAATCAAGGTCGGCTGGACTTGCAAACTAGCCAAAAGTGCATCTAAGTCATGCCTATGTACTCTAACATCCATCTTAATCAAATCTTCAAAGATATAGCTTTGAGAAGTAATTAAAACAGCTAGAATACTATGGTTCTTCCTACTCAATGCGTCAGCTACCACATTAGCCTTCCCAGGATGGTAATTGATTACCAAATCATAATCCTTTAGTAACTCCAACCATCTCCTCTGCCTCATATTCAGCTCTTTTTGTGTGAAAATATATTTTAAACTTTTATGATCAGTAAATATCTCACACCTCTCACCATATAAATAATGTCTCCAAATTTTAAGAGCAAAAACAACTGCTGCTAGTTCGAGATCATGAGTTGGATAATTCCTCTCATATGGTTTCAACTGTCTTGAGGCATAAGCTACAACCTTGCCATGTTGCATCAAAACACAACCCAACCCTTTCATTGAAGCATCACTGAAAATTGTAAAACCACCACTATCATCAGGAATGGTCAGAATAGGTGCTGAGACCAATCTACTCTTCAACTCTTGATAACTTTGTTCACATTCATCTGTCCACTCAAACTTCACACCCTTTTGCGTTAATCGAGTTAATGGAACTGCAATACGAGAAAATCCCTCCACATATCTTCTATAATACCCAGCTAAGCCCAAGAAGCTCCGAACTTCAGTCACATTAGTAGGTCTACTCCATTCTACCACTGCTTTAACCTTTTCCGGATCTATTGAAATTCCATCCTTAGACACCACATGTCCTAAAAATGCAACACTATTCAACCAGAACTCACATTTCTTCAGCTTTGCATAAAGCTTTTTCTCCCTCAGAACTTGTAAAACTAGCCGTAAATGTTCTTCATGTTCTGCTATACTTCGAGAGTACACCAAAATATCATTAATGAACACCACAACAAATTTATCTAAGTAAGGCTTAAACACCCTATTCATTAAATCCATGAACGCTGCAGGAGCATTAGTTAACCCAAATGGCATCACCAGAAATTCATAATGCCCATAGCGAGTTCTGAAGGCTAATTTAGGAATATCCTCTCCCTTGATCTTCAATTGATGGTATCCAGATCTCAAGTCAATTTTAGAGAAAACTTGAGCTCCCACCAGCTGATCAAAAAGATCATCAATTCTAGGCAAAGGATACCTATTACGTACTGTCACCTTGTTCAACTCTCTATAGTCAATACAGAGTCTCATGGTTCCATCCTTTTTCTTCACAAATAACACAGGAGCACCCCAAGGTGACACACTCGGCCTTATAAAACCT